GTTCCGTTCCTAGTTCCTAGTTCCGTTCCTAGTTCCGTTCCTAGTTCCTAGTTCCTAGTTCCGTTCCTAGTTCCTAGTTCCGTTCCTAGTTCCGTTCCTAGTTCCTAGTTCCTAGTTCCTAGTTCCGTTCCTAGTTCCGTTCCCAGGTCCTAATTCCGTTCCTAGTTCCTAGTTCCGTTCCTAGTTCCGTTCCTAGTTCCTAGTTCTGTTTAACATAAACGAAACTACGAACTAGGAACCAACTTCAGGCTTCCTTGTTAAAAGTAATTCATCATTTTATACTTTGTTAAAAAAGTGGACATTCACAATTATCTATTAGGGGTAAACAAACACATGGTCCTCTAAAATGAAATACTAAATATTTATAAATGTACGGATGAACGTAAGACACATACATTATAGGACTGCATCTATAAAACTTGGTAATAGATACAGTGTATCAAATTGAGTCACACTACACCAAACAGCTGTTTTGTTCTTATGTAACTCAACGTTGAGTGCAGGGGCAACAAGAGAGCAATCCAAATTAGTCTAAACTACTGTTGAAATAGAAGGGGAAATGTGTAACACCCTTTCGTTTATCTACATCAAAACTAAGACGAGTACTGGTTAGCTTAAGTTAATAATGGATAAAGTGTGCTTTTATTTAACCCTACCACTACTCAAAATGTACGTTTTGTGGCCATCAAGGTGCCGGGCTCGTGACCGAAGGGTTGTTGGTTCGAGTTACGGGTCAGCACTGTGTTGTATCTTTAAGCAAGATACTTTACTCCGCTTCTTCCAATCTTCTCAGCTGTACATGAGTACTTAGTTGGAAAGAGCTAGAATTGTTGAATGTTAGCTGTTAGCGCCGAAATGACAGCACCGGTTGTATGCTCCCAAGGGAGTTGAGAAAGATATTGGCTGGTTGCAAAGGCCCTATAACCACGGATAATAATTTGTGAACCGCTTTGAGACGACCTACGAACTAGGTTGTGATAAAGCGGTATATAAGAACCTCAAATTATTATTATTATTCTTAAATCAACGAACAGAGTCTACGTACCTTGGTGTCTGAAAAATGAATATAAGACACACGCATGCTATTTAAATGTGTTAGTGGTACAAACAGATCATTTGTAATTAGGGCAACTCTTATTTCAAAAGAGATAAAATAAAAAATATTGCTGAATAAAAAGATAGCCTTAATGATATCATTATGTCTTTATTAATTAGCACGAAACACCATGTTTCTTTTTGTCCCAAGTTCAATGAGTGCCAAATTAGTATACGAAGGTTAATATTTCTAAAGGGGCGATAACGCCAGCGACATCACGATATGATTTTCATAATATGTACATGTTGTCATGTTCATATTTAGCATGTTTAAGAAACCAGCTGGCCATACCAACTGTTGCTATTATCGATAATTAAATATCGTTTTATAAAAGTTATATAAAAAAAAGCATATACCTGATTTAGCTGGCTGTCATTGATATCTCAAGACATGACTTAGAACCTCACACTGGTCACGATATTTTATCCAACATATGAATAAAAATATCGTCTATTGCGAGTTTAAAATATTCACTTTCGTGTAGTTGCTGCGTTCCTCCCTTTACCTCCACGATGTCCCCTGGAGAATTTTTTTTCTCTGTCATTTAGATCTAAATTAAGGCGACGTTTCCTTATATTTTAGATTTTGTTGAAATTAATATTGGAATGAGGTTTCTATGTCTAAGAGATTAATTTTGGTAAGCTTTTTTTTTTTTTTTTAATCCATGATTTTTCAATTGAAGGAATTCCCGAAAAAAATATCTTAGCAAACAACGGAAATCGTACTGATAGAGAAAGTGAACTTAGGGACGAGAAGACACAGCAGGCCGGCTCGATTCTCACTAACCCGGCATTCGAAACACCCGCCACCCGAAAGACCGACCGTCTAACGGGTGCTTTGCTTAGCTGGAAGAATCAAGCAGACCAGTGGTTTTCACTTTTTCTAGAAGTCTCGTTCTCGCAATGAGATTATATCATTATACTAATGTCATTTTATATTTATTCATTAAAATATTCTTCATGTTATCAAAAACACGTTAAACATTTTTCACAACTTGAAGAGAAAAATAAAAGTGTCCCCGTTTTAATATTCGGAGTTCTAGGTTAAGATCTATTCAACCACCAATATTTGGTTTGACGTCGAGCAAAAACTCATCCCAATAGATATTTCCACACAAATATGATTAGATATAACATCAGCATGAATTTTATATTGACTAAAATATCACCATTTATTTACACTGCTTAAGCAACACCCTGAACCGTTGTCACAAGTGTGTGTAGTGATAAAGAAATGACGTCTGTTTTGCACAAGGATGCATTTGTCCTGGCTGAGTATATGTAAACAGACGTCTGCAAACTCTTACACCCTATATCAGTGGCGGATCCAGAAGGGTTTTTTGGGCTTCAGGAAACCCCCCCACCCTGAGAATTTTCTTTAAAAATCATGTATTTTCACCATTTTCCTCAAGTTTTCCCCACATGGAAACCCCCTCAGGAAATTTGGAAACCCCCCCCAGAAAGGTCTCTGGATCCGCCACTGATATGTATTGATATGAATCCTTTACCCAGACATCCCGGTTTATATACAACTTATCTAAGCTTTACTTATATAATACTTGAGAGTTTACAGNCCATCAACCCCCCCCCCCCCTTCAAAATTTGCGGAAATAAATGCCCTTCGGCATGCCACTGCATGATGTCATGACTTGATTACTTTAATTACTGTATGAAAAATCAAGGATTTACCTCCTATCGTCACTAAAGAAACGATTTAAATACTTCAGATATTGCGATATCTTGGTGGTTTTTTTTCTTTTTACTCCTTTTTCCCTCTCTGTACAGTTCTGGTTCCTCATAGGGAAAACATTTAACGCTTTTTCTTGTGGACACATTGATTGTCACAGTGATCTCGTTCGAGTAGTGGCACGGCTCTTACTATACAAATTTTACAGATAATTAAGTCCCCCAAACGAAGTGGGGGGGACATATTGTTTTTGCTCCATTTCTTCTTATTATTATTAGTAGTAGTATTCTTATTTCTTTCACTTTCTTCCGCCAGGGAAATTTCCACCATTTTTTCTCGAAAACTACCGAAAGGAATTGAACGAAACTTAACATGTGTGTTCGTGTATGAGAGGCACACTTGATTTCTGATTCTTAAAACAAAATGGCCGCCAAGGGGAGGCAACAAATTGGTCAAAATTTAAATGTTGTCCGATTTTCATGAAAATTGGTATATAGGTACTATATATGGCACCACATATACATCTGTAACGTCCATTTCCGGTTTCAACAAAATGGCCGCCATTTCCTGGCCTCTGATTGGTCCAAATTAAAATATCGTCCGATTTTCATGAAAATTGGTATATGGGTACTTTATTACACCACGAATACAACCGTAACGTCAATACCTGGTTTTAACAATCATTTCCTAGTAAAGGGGTCGTTTGGGGGACTTCTGTAATGGTCCCCATAACAATTAGTACTTGTTTAATTCGGAGTTCACCAGTACTCCTTTTTTTTTTTCGAATTCGTAAATTGATGGGTTTTACGTACCTGACCCTCTTTTTCAGCAGTAGTTGAGACAATTTTGGATTTCCATTTTTTTCCCCAAACATCACCGATGAGTCCTAGAAGAGCGAAACAGCATAAAGTAGCAGTATGATTACCTTTTAGCATATTGTTTCAATTCCGATATTTTGGAGGCACTGTAGTCTAGTGGTAGGACGCAGGACTCGTGACCGAAGGGTTGCGTGTTCGAGTTACGGCACGGCACCGTGTTGTATCTTCGAGCAAGATACTTTACTCTGCTTGTTCTAGTCTACTCAGCTGTAAATGAGTACCTGGTTGGGCAGTGCTAGAATTGTTGAATGCTAGCTGTTAGCGCCGAAATAGCAGCACCGGCTGTATGCTACCCCAGGGAGTTGAGAAAGATATTGGCTGGTTGCAAAGGCCCTATATTCAAGTATAATATTTTGTTAACCGCTTTGAGACGACCAACGAAGTAGTTTGTAATAAAGCGGTATATAAGAACCTCGAATNAATTTTTTTTTTTTTTTTTTTTTTTTGAAAGGTGCAATTCCCTGTGTGTGTGTGTTACGTGGATGTTCCATTGTTTGGCCGCGTACTTACTCGTTGTAATAAAGAGCTGTTCATGTTTTATTAAATACATTTTATTGCTTCTGTCCTGAAATAACCGTTAAACCCGTGAAACTACAGCAAAGGCAGGTGTGGTCGTTTTATGCAGACGCGCAAACTAGGTATTTAAATGAACTTTCGTGTTCGTGTCAATACAAAGTCTTCAGGCGTCAGTTATTATGCAAAATTGTTTTTTTTATCTTACATACAAATTATAACAAACCAATACTGGCTATTTCTCGGAAACGGACAATAACGATGCAAATTTTATTTTTTCACTATTTCACCATAGATACCTTTAAATTGTAGGCGAGAAATACAAATATATACATATTTGCAATGTAAATCTTGTTTCAGATATATCTTCAGAACACATCGAGTGTTGTGCATGGTTTGAGCTCTTTTTTATTTACACTAAAATAACAAAAAGGTGCTATTCATATACCTGGATATGTAAATATTACACACAATATGAAAATGTTTATTCAAATTTATCAAGTCTTTTAAGCTTAACGGTATATTAAATAAATCTTAATTTGATATGATATTTCACGATTATTAAAGGTGTAAATAAAATATGCACATCATGAGATACAAAATAGTAATATTTAGATGTTTCATTTAAAAAAAAAGTTCTATTTAGATACATACTTTTCAAAATAATCTAATTTGAATTTGCGATATTAATCTAACAAAGCTTGATTTGAATGAGTCCTATTTTTGGTATTCCAAACAGATCAAACATTAGTGACGTATGAAGCATTGGCCTTTAAATATAATTACTTATATAGTCAGCTCTTCCAGTTACTTATACCATACTCGTGAAATACTTACTTTGGGAGCACGTGCGTAAGGGGTTGGTCATAAAACGTACTTACTTCATCAGAAAGATGGCAGGATACAAACTAACTGTTGTTACACTTATAATACACACTGCAGGTAAGTTTTAACATTACTTACTTATGTAACTTTTATTTTACAACAATGTATGCATATATAATGTTTAAAAAAAATACACTGATACGCGTGTTACGACACAGAAAAACTGTATACCAGGAAATTTTCGCCGCATTTTCACTTTTGCCTGTTTTGCAATTGATAATGATGGCGAAATGAATATGACAGTGAATATGATTACACAATATTATCACTTTTTTATTCAATAGCATGTGAAGGGCCAAGTCAATAATGGATGAATATGGATTAATACAAAGTATTAGTTTAAACAGTATTTTATTCAATATGGCAGTGACAAAATAATACAAAAATCAACAAAGAGGATTCGAAAACAAGTAGTACTTATATAAATACGTCTCCTTATTATAAACCTGGCAGTTAGACGGCTCTTTTACATATATTTTGATAGTATAACAGACAGTGAGAAGAAGAAGAAATCAGGGAGGGCAGAAGGGGTGCATTAGGAAATGAAAGAAAGTGGTTACGAAGAGAATAACAAAAAAAGTATTGATCAAGCGTAACTATTGGTTGATGTCAAATACACAATTTTTTTTAACGAGTACATCTAACTAAATGGGAAGGGCGAAATTAACACCGGGCGAATATGAGTTTTGTCGGCAAACAGTTTTGCGGGGCGAAATTTTCCTGTTGTACAGCATTTTTAAAATTAGTACATTAACTAGGTGTGAAGTCCGAAATTAACACTGGGCTCATATGAATGTTGCAAATGACGAGGGGAAAAGGCTAGCTGGGCGAACGTTTCTTGTTTCAGAGCATTGGATGTATACATTAAATTACATGCGAAGGGCGAAATTCACATTGGACGAATATGTATTTGCCGATGAAAGGGCGAACGTTTTTTTCGTTGTATAGTGCACGATTCATCCATTCAATTCATACAGTCAATATCATGTTTAAATCAATACAAAGTATTAATTAACTACAAAGTATTGATTGATTTAAACATGATATTGACCGTATTAATAACCGTATTCATTAACTACAAAGTATTAATTAACTACAAAGTATTGATTCAGCGCGTAACCATTTGTCAACCAAACATCCCAAAACGTACCAGTACAACTTTATTTGAAAAGGACAATATGACATGTACATTTTAAATTGTTCTGTGCCGTACTTGAAAAGTATCCCGACCGTTCGATACATATCTGTTCAAACCTTTGACATTTGTTACTCCGAACAATAACGTGAATAATTGATATACAAGAATGGGTATAATACTTAGTACTAAAACGCCACTTTGTTTTCGTGTTTCGATATTTTGCTGGTTTATACAAAAGTCTTTCTTTTTAGCAATGAATACCATGTAGTTTTTAGTCGGAGGTCATGGATTTAAGCAATATCATGATACCAGAGTTTGAAAGATATGTCTTTAAACTATTTGGTTACGAGGGATCACTCTTAGCGTGACTACTTGTATGTCATATACATAAGTAATGTTTCAGAAAAAGAACTTATTTTAGTTTAAAGGTAGACATTTCTTCATATCATTTTTTTTTTATCTAAACGATGCCTTAGCCGAACCTTTGTAATAAACAATGATCAAACTATGATTAGGAAATATATTTTTCTATTTATCTCATATTCTACAAAAAAAAAAAAATCATGTACAAATAAAATATTTAGATTCGTCATATTTGTTCTATTTGGTATCGATACATCGGCTTTAGCATCTAATTATAATGATTCTAATCAATCATTGAGTGAAGCCACTGGCTGTTACTTTGTTTGTAAAAATCCATGTTTGTCCATTATAGGATAAGGATATAAATACCTCATGAAATAACATTACAGCATGTCTGAAATCCTGGTTTAGGAGGTCTGATATTATCTCAACTACTGACATTGTGTTTTCCTTGACCATAAAGAATGATATCCTCTATATCCAGGGATTACGCTCACTTTCGCTCTCTGCACCCCTGGAATATGTCATAGCAAAATTGAAGGCACGAAGACAGCTGTTTTATTGGTCTCAGGTAAAAAAAACACCTGACCAATCGCTGGGCTGATACCTCCGTTTTCAAGGCCTGTCAACTTTTACCGTTACGTGACCGCGAGATTCTCTTGATGAATATCATAGGATCGATCAAGTCTTCTTTTCTCATCCACAAGGTGGCGCACACTGAGCCTTTAATTTTGCTATGACATATTCCAGGGGTGCAGAGAGCGAAAGTGAGTGTTACACCTGTCTATCGAGGATATCTGTAGGTAATTCGCTTCGTCTCTAAATTCTAATTCCACGGGTTGAAAAGTTACAAAGAAACTCGTGTGGTAAGATGTCGTTAGATACTGTTTATAATTTAAACATGAACAAGGGTACATAATGTACTGAACCCATTGTATATTTAACAAAACAATTTCTATATATACATAGTAATAAATATCTAAAATATACCCAAAATAAACTAAATTGGTTTAAACACTTTTTGAAAATATCTTAAAAATCGAATGCTAGTTCATGATAACAATGATTTTTGCAGTTGGACCTGGCTATTGAACCTTCTGTTGATATTAACCGAAATGTGACATCCTGTCTATAACGACCATCTGTGTATGTTGATCATATTAATACAATTGTACAATGCCTCATGTGCGACCATCTGTGTATAACTACCAGTAATAAGATCCCTGTCTATAACGAAAAACATTGTCTAATTACTGGCTAAAATATACCCTGTCTATAGCGATGATTTTTGTCTACAACTACCGACCCCTTTATCTCCTTCTGTCGCGACAATCTGAGTATAACTACCAATTATCAAGACCCCTGTCTTCAGCGATGATCAGTGTAAAACTAACTATCATTATTACTATGCTTGTCTATTGCGGCAATCTGTGTATAACTACCAAGTGTTATGGCCCCTGTATTAAGCGACCATTTGTGTATTGGAACCCAAAATATTAAGGCACCTGTCTATAGCGGCGATCTGTGTATAACCGTCATTTATTACGGCCCTTGTTGAGAGCGGCGATATGTGTATAATTATCATGACTACTGCCTATTGAGACAATTTGAGTATTACTACCAACCATTATGGGCCCTGTCTAAAGCGACCATCATTATAAAACTAATTAGTTATATGACCCCTGTCTATGGCGACTATCTTTGTATAACCATAATGTATTACGACCCCTGTAAAAACTGATACAATACCATATGATAGCGACTGCAAGACCTCCTGCAAACACCCACTGGTCAATATCATATATCGACCACCTTCGTATTAAAAACATCGTAAAATCTCCCATGGCTTTCTGCTGTGGCTGTATTCACTGGCTGGCGGTTGGTTGTACAGGACTTAACATCCTAGCAACAGCCAAGGTCTTTAAGGACGTGCCTCCATGTGTGTTGTGCACGCATGCATGTGTGCAGCAGACAGGGTATGTTGGAGTATTTCCTCCTTGTGATAGCGCATATCTGATGCCGACTTTATAGTGCTATCTCACTGAAATACTTTACCAAAAGCACCCAGCACAGCATTCTGCTTGGTCAGTGCATACCATCCGCTATATTCTAGGTTTAACACTAACTATCGCTCTCTGCACCCCTGAAATATGTCATAGCGAAATTGAAGGCATGCGGTTAGCTATTTGATTTGTCTAAGGTAAAACAAATTGACCAATCGCTATGGTGATACCTGTTCTTTGATTATTAAAGAAGAACGACACCCGGTTTCGAAGCCAGTCAATTTTTACCGTTACGCGACCGCGGGATTCCTTTGATTTACATAAAAGGATCAAACTGGTCTTCGTGTCTCATACACGAGGTGGCGCATACTGCGCCTTCACTTTTGGTATGTCATATTCTTGTGGTACCGAGAGCGATAGGGAGACGTAACCCAGGATGCATTATACATGTACTGTCAACGGGTGAACCAGTTGTTGCCATTACCCTTAATTCTGAACTTTAAGCAGGGTAAAAACAATGGTAAGCAGTTTCGCACTCATATTAACAATGTGCTTTGTGCGAATTACTTATATGAGGTTTTTTCCTGCTTATAACCAGCGAACAGTGTCAAATGACCTGCTGTTACAGGAATATCATGAGTCTTGGAAACTTATCATCGTTTTTTCTACCTTTTATTCTTTAAATGATTCTATTGAATGTTGATATGTATCTAAGTGGAACTGGACTTGGTTGGTCGCCGGAGACCAGGTAGCTCAATTTGGGTTCGAATCCCGGGTTAGCCGTGCTTTTTTCTCTCTCTTGTCACATATCAGGAGAAATATATAAAAGCAGAATGCTCGCATGTGGATAAGATCAAGAGGCGATCGCAGGTGGACTCGAGAATATATCCACGTGCGAGCAGTGAGAAAATTGTTCAAACCCTGAAAACATAGTGTGATAATTGATAAATGTTTAAAAATAACCTATCCCAACGAGTCCTTAGAGATCAGTTATAAATGTGCTTAATTCATCTTCCTACCACTAAAAACGTTAAATGTTCTATAACTATACACCAAGGTCATTCAAATCGGTCAATGTTGTCACACACGCTGTATTGTCCGCTGTTCCACTATCAAAATCTAGCTTTAAACGATATAGGTTGTAAATATTTAAATGTTTTGAAAGTCTAATTTGAATATTTTATAACGACACACAAACAGAGGGGTCCATTATGACTTGCAAATTAATAATTATACATTCCGTCGCGGTCAATGCTAATTGCAAGGTCATTATTTGAAATATTTTAAACATGTTTATTTTTAGCCAACTCAAGCTATAGCAAATTTGTTTAAAATAAAAATAAAAAATCCGTCACTTGTTAAAGTACAACTTCAATTCCGCGGAAAACTCGAGCTATGTCCTAACGCGCGAGTTCATGTTAGATCGTTTAAAACATGCACAGGCCCTGCATATCGATCAATAGAGCTTTGTCCCCGCATGTCCGGGACGTTACAAAAGGACCAACCTATATCTTATTGCATGATAACAAGAGGCGACCAATTGGGGGTTTTAT